CGACCGCGGTGGCGGGGGACTCCGGGAGGTCTCTAATGGCAGCGGACAAGCCCTGGGAGCTTCGCCGCCACCATCGGAGACCTTCCGGGGGTCCCCCGCCGCCGTGATTGGAGGCAGCAGAGCGCCAGGAGGCTTGAGCTGGCCGGGTGCTTGGTCGCTCACCCCTGGCTGCAGTGGAGGCAGCAGAGCGCCAGGAGGCTTCAGACTGGTAAGTCCTTTTTAAAAACGTGTTCTGGGTGGGTTTTGGAGAGTGGGTTTGGACTTGGGGAGGTTATGTTTCTGTGTTTTTTGTTTGTTTGTTTGTTTGTTTTTGTTTTGCATTCCCAGTGCAGGACCTGCTCTGTTTATTTTTATTTTTATTTTGGTAATTTTTTGAAATGCTGGAACGGATTAATTCTGTTCCCATGCATTTCAGTGGAAAATAGTATTTCGATTTATGAACTTTTCAGCGTACGAACGCTGTTCCAAAACGGATTATGTTCATAAGTCGAGGTACCACTGTATTCAGCTTCTAAATTTTTCCCTGTTTGGTAATGATAACAAGGTTTTCGGGAATGGTGGGATGACCATCCATTGCATTGAAACTATATAATTAAACCTTTTACTATACCTGTGGACATATATTTTTGATCTCCACAGGAAATAGCCAATTACTGTTTAAAAAAGAAATCCACTTCAGACTAATTATGATTTGTTATTTTTCACTTTGGAAGGTTGAATAATACTCTGCAAATTTACATTGTTAATGTTTGTGACTGTCTTTATTATGTAATGTTCCACTTGATTGCATACTTTGCCCTCTGTGTACATGCTGCCAGATGTGTGTGTGAGCGAGAAAGTGTTCTGCAAAGCATGTCGGCCCTTTTACTTCTGGACAGAGTTCATCAGACTGATAGTTTAGCAATCTGTAAACACGGACAGGATGAGGAAATCTGTCTGCTTCCTGAAACCTTGTATCTGAGCAACATTCAGACACCACATTGAAGACCTTTTTATTGTTTATAAAATAAAATATTTTCCTCTCTAGACAAGGACATTTGTTATTTGATTGGGAAGGTTTCATGTTTGGTTAGGAATTCTGTGAAGCAAAGGTGGGAGTTGCCTTGTGAAAGGTACATTAACCTGCCTTTTATTTTCAACTTATGTTATGTCTCCTGGGCTGATTCAGACAGCCCTCAACATGTGCACACTAGACGTGAAGGGCATGGAAGCACTGTGTGAAGATGATCATGTGGATTTTGGATGTGGATCGAGGGACATCAGATTCTAGTCCCCACTGAACCATGAAACTCATTGGAGGGGTTTGGGCCAGTCACTCTCAGGCTGTTCTCATATGACGGTTGTGAAAATAAAGTAGGAAAGAAGGAGAGCCACATATGCCCTCTTGAACTCATGAGAAAAAAACTAGTGACTAGTATGGGTGGAGAAGGACACTTCCCCTCTTTGCTTGAAGAATAAGTTACTAATGTATTCGCGAAGGCTTTCACGGCCGGGATCTAATGGTTGTTGTGGGTTTTTCGGGCTTCTTGGCCGTGTTCTGAAGGTGGTTCTTCCTTTCTTTTTGCAAAAAGAAAGGAAGAACCATCTTCAGAACACGGCCAAGAAGCCCGAAAAACCCACAACAACCAATAAGTTACTAACTTCATAGAATTACTAGTATGCATAAATTACTTTTGTTGTGTCCTATTTTGATGTACCAGCTGTTTTGTGCGGTTTGGCAAAAAGAGGTGGTATTAGGAGAGGTCCATCCACATGGTTTGTAACCTTAGTTTACACTGGTCAGAGGACTTATCTTACATCTGTTTTAAAGTTACTGAGTCAACAACAATTGGACAGTAACATCTGAGCTAGGTATATATCACTGCTTATCATGTATGGAAGAATGTAAACAGGTGAGAGTGCGGAAATACCTGCTTGAAAAATGTTTTCAGTAGAAAAGTTTGATACAATGTACTAGTAAAGCGTTCCTTCTTCCACAAAATAGTCCTTTTGAGTGATTTAAGCAGACAGAATTGTTTTTGGATTATTGACAACACAAGCCTCTGTCGACTCAGAAACCAGCTCTGTTGGGTTTGATGGGATATACTTATCCAAGTATTGCAGCCAAACCTTTTGTAAGATTTTTGCTACATAGTGGAGCTAATGAAGGTGGTGATTGCTTCTGTTTTAAGTTTCCAGAGTGTGAGCAGGGGCAAGAAAAGCAAACAAGATGAAAAGGCAGATACTTTGTTTTGTTTTGCTTGTTTCACAAAATAGTATCTCTGCCCTCCTTAGAGGCGTCTTTTCACAGTTTGGCATAGTTGCGTCTCTAAATTAAGACCCTTAAGAGCTCACTTTCTCAACAGATACTTTATGACTGCAAACACAATTCTTCTTAAGTAGCCTTTCTTGCTTTGTGGGTTTTTTTCTACAAGTCTTACGGCCACTGATTTAACTTTTCATTGCGGTGAGGGTTGTTTTTGTTGTGCAACAGGGTGAACCAAGTTAAGCAGGAAAACAAGGAATGATCTATAATTCAGTATTTTTACTTTCTCATCCAACATGTGATCATTAGGAAAGTACGAAGTCTGTTTACAAATGGAAAAATCGTCAGGAGAAGGGGCCAGCAAGAAAATGAATCACCATTCCCCAGACTTATTCCTTTTTTCTTAATTACACTTTAAAAGATTTCACACATGTCCTCATGATTCACTGCTTCCATCAAGAACTATTCTTGGCCATCACTTGACCAAATATGTTGCCAGAGAGCTATGCCACACATTAGGAACATATACAGCAGTCATGAGGAGGAAGAGACAGGGCTGCTTTACAAAATGCTTAATTTCTCTCAGGTTAATGAGGGCAAATATCCAAAAGAATTATATGACTTACAGAAACCTTTAGCGTTCAATTTTCATGCATTTGACTGTGGACCTGAGCCAGCTTCTATTAAATGGTACATTTCAGTGGGACAGATGTTCAATGCATGGCTAACTTCATCCGGATTGTGCTCTTTAGCCTGAGTGTTATCCATTTATTTGTATTAATGTGACATACAGTAATTGCATTCACAGACCTATACCTGTTTACTCAGAAATCCGGTCCATAAAATTCAACAAGATCTACTCCTGGAATCAATTTTGAATTGAAGCCTCAGTTTGCCTTTCTGTAGAAATATATTTGTCATGTTCTGGAAACTTCCCTATCCTCTCCCCCTTAAAGCTCCCTTAAATGCCTGTTTAAAAATATATTTGAACTATTCTTTCCTCATCTTCTTTTCCCTAGTCTTGTGCTTGAGTTTGCTGTCTTTTCCCCCACTTCATTTTGGTTGTCAGCCAGAGAACAGTTTCTGCTATGTCATTAGTTCTGTGCTAAAACAGACTGCCAATAAGTTTTTGTTCTAGGCAGTGCTCAGAAGTTGATTGAGCAAAGTATAGAAACAAATGTTTACCAAAGTACAAGCAATCTGTCAATGGTGTGTTTCAGGTTTGTCTCATATTCCGAACAAACTTTGTACCCATCACCGTTGGGACTTGGACGTACTACAGCAGCCCTGGCCGACAGTGGATCCAGAATACCTTCAGCAGCCAGATATAGTGGACATGACTGTTCTGGTAAGAGTGCAAAGTTTTACTTCATCAGTGATCACTAAACTTTATGTAAACAATTTTGAATGTATCTATCAGGAAAAGTCTATGTGGAGCAGTCATGCTCCCCTCCTAATTAGTTGGGGGACAAGGCAGCCGAGCACCAGGGACAGTGAATCATGCCAACCCTCCTCGTGAGCCTCTGTCACTTTGGAAAGCCTCATTAGCACAAAAGAAAAGAAAAGAAAAAAATCCAGAATGTGGCTCTCTAAAGTTAGCCAAGCCAGAAATACTTGGCTCTGCTGGCCCTTGGAGCAAAGCATTGTAGATGGGGTGCTCTGGGAGATTGCCTGTGCTGTGATGGAAGGGTTGATGTCCCAGGGCACTGGCTCTGAGGAAGGACCCCAACAAGCAAATACTTGGGCTCAGGTAGCTCTGTGGAAGAGAACACTGACCACCTTCTCCAGATGGCACTGGTTTTTTAAGAGGCAGTGATTGGTGGAGATAACTGTAGGTAGTGAGTGACACAACAGAGGAGAACAGTGGAAGAGTACAAGATGCTGTTAGTGCAGAAAGGTTCCTTTTACTGTTCTTGGCAGCCAGTAGATGTCTTCGAACTCCTGATGCTACAGGGGTGCTGAAGCTAAGCAGATAGCGATTTAGTTGGCAGTCTAAATGAGAGACCATTATGAGTGCTATGCAATAGTGGGACAGTAATAATTATTTTCTTTTTAAAAATATTTCTGTGATTTTTCTTAAAAAGAAAGAAAACACATCAAGGTTTACATATCCTTCTGGTTTGTTGAAACTTGCTAACATGAAGCTTTAGGCTTAAAGTCATGCTCCACATTTCTGAGTTTTAGTAGCTGTGTAAAAATTCAGTAGCTGTAAATATTCAGAACTTGTATAAATACTAAAGCTGTTTTTTTCTCAGCTTTACGTATTTCTTTCTGTAAAACTTGCAGTAATATCAAAATATACCTCTCTGTGCTACAGTATTTGAGTGTCCAAAGCCAGGCTGATGCAGTATGCTGATATTTATTACCTTTGCTTTGCTTTGCTTTGATTATTAATTATTATTTAAATATTGATGGCTTCAAAATCTCCTCTTAACTCAAGAGAAAATGTGGTAGCTGTTTTAGGGACTTTTCTGCTTTGATTATTTTGGGAACAGCAGTTGGTGCTACTTTGGAAGATAGACTATAGCTGAGAACATGAGAACATGAGCATCTTAAAAGCAGGGGTGGGGGAGCCTTGATAATTCATGTGGTCCCTTAATGCCATCCTTGTATACAGGCTTTCCTGAGCCAGGAATGGCCTGTGTTCAGGGAAGCTCTCCTAGTTAAGTCATCTGCAAATGCAATCCTATACTGGTATTTTTGCTAAGCAACTCTCTTTGCTGCACATCAGTCCTTCCCCCATCAGGAGGAGATGGAGTAGGTGATGCACAGCTCATGGAATCCACACGACAATCTCCAACCAGTAATTCTAAAGCAAGGGTATGGAATGGGAATTATTTTTGCCAGTGGGCCACTCTAACAAATCTGTACTTTCTTTTTCACCAAAGCATACATATGTACACACACATAGATATGCACTTCATTTTTGCTACACAAGGACAGTACACGTTTTATGGCAGTGGTGACTCTTCCAGCAGGACAAGTTGAATGCTACGCTGCCTCAGCTTTAGGTTATCTTTAACTGTCTCACTCTTGCCTTCCTCCTTAGCAGAGGAAGAAAGCTTATACCTGTCCATTTATTTATTTGTTTGTTTATTTGTTTGTTTGTTTATTTATTTATTTAAATTTAATTTAATTTATACCCCGCCTATCTAGTCATTCTCTCTGTGTACTTGTGTGTGCTTCTCTGTGTATGTGTATGTGTGTGCATATGCATGTGTATGACTACTCACTTTTGCCTCTGACTCCACACGCAATTGGTTGTTGTGTTCTCTCCCCCTTTCCCACATCAGCCCCAGTGGGCACCAGCTGCCTTGAATTTATGGTGGCAAGCATTTATCTGGAGGAAGTAAGTCAAATGTTAAGGGGATATGCACATCTTCAGACAGTAGACATGTTGCATGGAGTTGTGTCTCTCTGTGCTTAGGGACTTGTATCTCACCTTTATTGGTGACACACTTTGCTCTCTCTCACACACACACACTTTTTTGTATTTCTCAGTGAATATATGAGGGAAAAAACAGATAATAATTAAAAGATGGGAAGTGGTAGATGAGCGATTGTAAAAGAATATGTGGAAATAGAAAAGACTTATTGGGCCCAAATACCTCCTCCTGATGGAAAGCCTATCTAGAGGCCTAATGGAGATATGACTTAAAGCTCTCACAGAGCTGCTCATGAAAATTGCATCCTCACAAGAAGTTCCTTTCCAAAGTCCATAATATATAGGATCATCTTATTTGTGTTCTAAAGTACAGTATTCAGTTATATGCTTCCCTATTCTCACTGTACATTGTGCTGGCAATGATAGGGAAATGCACATTCTGTTCATGTCAAGGCATATGGTAGGATGTTGCCCAGGTTATGAGAGTGGGTTGGCCTCCAACATGGCTATTCCAACTTCCATGTAGTGCTGATCTAGCTCTGTCTGCATTCAGTCTGAAAGAGGCTATTGAACATTTGGCATCTATGCTGGAAACATGATGACAGAAACTGGCAGTTACCCAAGGATGCTCAAGAATGTGCCAACTTTGCATACCTATCCCAGACTCCGTCCACAAGGTCAGAGACAGTTTGGCCTTGTATTTGCTGAATTCCCCACCCAGAGTTTAGATCTTACTTTTAACTTCCCAATGCTTTTTAATTTTCTGCTTCATGTAGCATGATTACCCAAGCTGGCCCAGTCCATCTTGAAAACTAGCATTTTAAGTTGTCTGGAATATCTCTTAAAATTACATATTCATCAACAGAGGAAGTTGAAGTCAATTTTGGGACGGTCGCTCCACAACTCTGAAATAGTCTCCCACCCAAAATTTGCCTGGCCCCTTCACTGGGAACTTTCAAAAGACCACTAAAAACATGGCTGTTTATACAGGCCTGCCTGAACTTTTGAACATCTTAATACAGCAGTGTTTTTAACAGTTACACCTTCAACTTCTCCACCATGCCTTTTATTATTTTAATTATTTTATTTGTCATTGTTGTTGCATTTTGTTTTAAGTTGTTACTTGGTTAATCTGTAAACCTCACAGAGTGGCCTTAATAGCCAGATGGTGGTATAAAAATCAAATAAATAAGTTTAAAAAATAATTTTGCTGAAAAACTAACCAGTGTCTATGCATCTTATAACTCCTATAAGGCAGGTGCCTTCTGACTTTTCAAAAAAAATCTCTTTAAAACACAACTCAGTTGAGTTATGTGTCTATGCATGCAATGAAGCTGATACTAGCATGCAGTTACAAGACAAAAATTAAGGCAAGTTGAAATCAATAATAATTGTATGCTGTCAGGTTGATTCCAATTTATGGCAACCCTTTTTAGGGTTTTCTATGCAGAAATTACTTAGAAGAGGTTTACCATTCCCTTCTTCTTGGGACATCCTGGGACTGTGCAGCTTGCCCGAGGCCACACAATGCTGGCTTTTTTCCCAGGAGGCACAATGGGAAATTGAACTCCCAACCTCTGGTTCCGCAGTCAGATGTCTGAACCACTGATACAAACCAACAATGGCTTAATTAATACAGTGGATTTAATAGAAATTAATAAAATCCATGGAAATAAGATTCTGATTTCCATAAACGTGTTACCTGTAAACAGATGGGAAGAAATATACTGGGGAAAAAGGAGAAAAGTGAGAAGGCCCAATTTTAGATATTTATTTTGGTTCTTCCTGTATGTCTTTTTCAACTCCAGATCAACAACAAATTCTGTGGTAAAGTTGGAGTACCTCAGCAAGTAGCCCGAGATGCCGAAGTAATTCGTGAACTGGTTCTTCAAAGCAAGCTGGGGAGTGAATACCTGCAAGGACGTACCATTACAAAGTTCTTCTTGTCTCCTCGAACTGCCCTTGTCAACTTCCTTGTTCAAGAATAGCAGGCAGTGATGTTTTTAGAACTGCCTACAGAAGAGCACCTGATGAAATTCATCAAAGGAATCATTTGGTAGAGTTAGAAGAGCCCCCCAAAAATCATGGTGGGGGAGAAATCATAATTGATTTAGGGGTTGGTGCTTGCAGAGGAAGCTTCTGCACTTGAGGGGAGCATACTCGTTGGTCAGAGTACCTCCTCAGGTGTTGAAGCCTCATGTATGAGCAGCAAACCCCTTTTCATGGACATCTCCCAACATTCATTCAGAGATGGAAGAGCTGATGCATAGTTCCAGAGATTCGTGGACCTGACCTGTACAGCTCCTATGGCGTATTAATTCAGCATATGAAGAGGGGGTTTGTGCATTCCCAGTGTCACTCTTCATTAAAATTAAAACTATTTTAGGCATTTGAAGAGACTCTCAATAATGACGAAAACTACCTGACCATATTCTCATTCTGAGTGCAGATATTATGATGGAGAAAAGAGGGGTTGGTAGAATAAGGAAGTGAGAGCTACATTGTATAAAATGAATAAACATATGCAGGTCACCAGACATTTCTCTGGAAATTGTGGATGAAAATGCACTTGTGTGTGTATTGCCAGGTGGCAAGCTAAAGTGCCACAGTGAGTATTTGGCACAGGATGTTCCTCAGTTTAATAAAGAGCAGCTATTATATTCTTGTTTATCTATATAGAAATCCTTACTGCAAAAAATGATATTTTAAAGCTCTTCAGTGGATTATTCATAGACATAGTGTACATTATTACAACCAACCATGCCTTTTCCCAGTTTTTCAATACCAAAGATATTAATTCAGAACAGTGAAGTCTATTTCTCTTTTAACTATATTTTTATTTATTCCGAGAGAGCTCACTTATATAATGAGGTAATGAAAACTTGTTTCTAAGCAAGACAAAGAAAATCCTTATTTATCTCTGAGTTCCAAAGCAGCAAGCTGGTAATAGATCAAGTTAAAGCATTGCAATGTTGCCGGGGGATATTCATACATGCCGGGCTTGATCTTTTATTTAATCTTAATTCTCACACAGCTCAGACATGTGGCTACAGTGGAAGTTGTTATTTTGTCAGTGTGCTTTGTAGTATAGAAATTAAAAATGAAGTACCCTGTCAAGTGTGGAGAGTCAGTGATGTACTGCTACAGTATGGAAAGCAATTCTCTTGATAGTGCAGGCCCTTGGCAAGTACAATGCACTATTCTTGGAATAAGAAATCATTTCACTGTGGAACAAAGGGGGCAGGCTTTAAAGTTTCCTGGCTTCTGTTCTTCTCAACTACATCTTTATTTCAAAGATCTTTACAGTCTGCACACCATGAATTGTAGGTAAGCTGCTTATCTTTACATCTTCCAAATTCTTGGCCAGTATCTCTTGGCCCTTAACTCTGGGTGGCAAATACGACAATGAAACACTAGTTTTTTTAAAAAAATCTAAGAAAAAAAATTAAACACAGAGACAGACACAAAGAGACACACACAAACCACCTGTAGTTGAAATGTAGGCTTTATTCAAGTTCCTGAATGCTGCTAGTTGACCAGTCTCCTCTTAAATTTAAGTTATTGGAAAAAAGATGCCATTGGCCAGCATCCTGTTTCTGCCAGCGTAATGTAACACTAGTGTAAATGCGGCAGGTGCTGATGCCTAGTAACAAGGAATTGCACTACACAATTGTCTTAGTTGTTTTTGCATCTCTGTTTTGACTGATTGTGCAGTGCACCGGCAAAAGTACTTCAAGGGTCTCACTTCTGCCTCAGCCATAACACAATTACCATGGGCACAACCTCAAATTGTTCATGCATACTTGTGCAAAAGAATTTTGGCTAATGAAAGCCATTTCCTATATATACAGGAAAATGGATTTGTTCCACAATGTAGCTTAGCTGACACTGCATATATTTCAATATTCCTACTTACCAGAGCATGTGTTAACAGACTTTTCTTTATTATGCAATCATAGCTAATCACTAGGCAAAGATTTATATTTATCTTATTTTACTTAAAAATATATATATTATTGATTTACTTAATTATATCCCACTTCTTCTTTGTGGCCTCTGTGAATGCACACAAATGGGTTTTACTGTGTCTGCGCAGGACTCCTTGGAATATTCCACAGCTTAAAAAGACGTAATTAGTAGGATGTTGCCCCATGGCACGCATGCTCCGCCCACACAAAATACCTCAGTTTCTTTTATCCACCGCTGAGTTCGGACTGCATCAGTGATTATTAGAGCTTCTTCCATTTTGATTCAACAGTTTTTGATCTTTGGCTTGTTTAATGGTTTCCCGATCTTGTCACAGACTTGGCTTTGTTGATTGTTTGATTATAGCTTTCTGATCTTTGGACTGTTTATCGTTAAGCGTTTTGGATCACAGACCTGTGAGGTAACCTTTTCTCCCCCCCCCTCCCTTTCCCCCCCATTTCCCACCTCTCTTTTATGGTCCCTTCGGGTCCTTTCAGGAGGTGTGTATCATGTGCCAACAACATTCCATTCACTGATGGCCACAATTGTTGCTTGTTTAGCCTGGGAGAGAGACATCAGATCAACTCCTGTACGGAATGTAAGAAATTTACCAAGCCAGCCCTCACGCTTCACTTGCAACAACTTTGGTCGTATCTTTGGGGAAAGTTCCTACGACCTTCCAGCCCTGTAGCTAGTCTTGCTGCTACCCCCACAGTGGAACCTACTGTTGTCCTTGCTTCTCGGTCTGAACCTTTGGTTCCATCAGCACTGACAACTCCCTTTCCTAAGACATCCTCCAAAGCTTCCAGGCCTAAGACCGTCTCAGCATCAATGTCGACTTCGATGTCGAAGTCACTCTCTACCAAGGACCTCTTACCTAAGAAAAAAGAAGGACACAGTTAAACAAAAAAGCTAAGTGGGTCTCTAAGCCTCATCGACCCTGTGAACCTCAAACAGTTCACATCTCCCTCCCCTCTCCTATCTTGGAGGAGTCATTGAGGGACATTTTGGACCCAGATTCCCTTTCTGAAGCTGGAGAGGTGGGACCACTTCCTCAGGCTCAAGTCTCGGCATCGGTACCAAGCTTGTCACCATCTCATGGCCACTCTGAGGCTCCAGCCCGGCCTCAGCCCATTCTAGCCCTATTTCTATCAGGTGGGCAACGGTGATCCAACTTTCCAATTCGGAGGCTTCGCTTTCTCAGTCTCCTCCGCAAAAGCAATCTGCTTAATGGCAAATATGGTGAACCTCTTTATTCTGATGTGGATCAGCGTAGTGTAGTGACTGATACAGGCTGAATTAGCCTGATCGGCACTATGTCGATTATTATGGGCGGCCTAGGCGCATGCATTATAGGTATGTCTCTCCCACATCTTCTCATCCTTCACCACCACAATATTGAATGTACTACCAGCCCGATCTTGTGATACCGACACCGAGGAAATCTGCTTTCAAACATGGATTACCCCCATTTGAGATCCCCAACTGGACCCGGTCCCAGCGAAACATGCACGTTTATCCTCCCTGCCACAGGCCTTGACTTCACAACCAGCTTCTGTTGTCCATAGGTCCTGCTCACGTCACACTTCGGCTTCGATTCCACAAGTTTTAACCTCAGCACACTCACCTTGGGCCCATCATTGTTCCCCTTCCCCTCTTCTCTCGAGGGACTCTTCAATCTCAACTGCTTCTGAGCAGGATCAGGATCTCCCTTCAGAAGCTTCTAGGTAGTCCCCGTCGAATTTACTGACACCTGACTCAGATATCACAGATATCCGAGGACTTTACATCTTATTCCCAGCTCATTCTCCGTATGGCCAAATCTTTGAAACTCGACATAGAACAGCCTCCACCTCCCAACAGGACCTTGTCTTCAACAACATAAATCAAGAGAGATCCCCTCCATTGAGTCTGACATTCATGCCAGCCATGTTGGACCTTATCAAGGAGTCATGGGACAAGCCGTCTACGTCTACCCAAATTTCTCAACACATTGAGAACCACTGTAGAACACATGGATCTGACACAGCTTTTCTCATGAAACATCCTGCTCCAAACTCCATTATAGTGCAGTCAAATCAGTCCTGTGACAGTAATGGATCTTCAGTCACTTGTAATCGATCTTCAGTCAATAGGGAAGGCAGAAAATTGGATGTCTTAGGCCGTTGCCTATATTCTCTGGCCTCCTTTCTTATGAGAGTCTCAAATTACCAAGCCGCAATGGGAGCCTATCAGAGACAACTGTGGAGGAAAATCTTCCTGGTCCTTCAGGCTGCTCCCGAGGAGACCAGAACCTCTTCTCTCAACACTGGTCTTGAGGGCACAGCACTAGCTAAACAGCAGCGTCTCGCATCTCGCCACATGGCTGACGCTGCCTCAAAGGCTTTAGCCTCAGCTATTGCCCTAAGAAGGCACACTTGGTTGCACTCAGCAGGAATCAATGATGATGCTAGATCCCGCATTGAGGATCTTCCATTTGATGGTGTTGGTCTTTTTAATGAGAAGACGGATGAGGTGATGGACAATTTGCACAAAATGCACAAGACCGCCTGTTCCTATTCTACTCAGCAGCCCAGATACCAACAGTGTAACCAGTGGCGCAGGCCCTTTACAACAATACCAGCAACCCTATCGGCCCTATAAAACTCCAGCTCTGGCTCCTGAAAGATCCAACCCTCCTTAATCTTCCCCGGTTGCTCCCTTCCATTCCCAGACCTCTGCTCAGTGCAGACAAGGTTTCCGTTGCCCTGCAAGAAAAAACAAGCAATGTCTTTGACTCTCCTCTCCTGGACTGTCATCATCCCCAGCTGGCTCCCTTTTTCGACAAGTGGTCCACCATCATCAAGGACACTTGGGTGCTCACCATCATATGTTTTGGTTACCTATTAGAATTCAAGGAGCTTCCTCCTCTCAGTCATGTCAGACTCACAACTTACCTGCTCTAGAGGATGAGGTTACACTCCCTCAAAAACTTGCTATCCAGAGGGTGCCTCCCCAAGATATTCTGAACAGTTTTTACTCACGTTACTTCGTGGTTCCCAAAAAGAATGGAGGCCTCCATCCCATCTTGGACCTGCAACTTCTAAACACCTACATTCATCTGAGGTGTTTTCGCATGGTCACCCTCAAATCAGTCATCCTTCTGCTTCAGCTAGGCAGAGAGTTATACAGTGGTGTCTTCATTTACGAACTTAATCCGTATTGGAGCTGTGTTTGTAAGTCAAAATGTTTGTAAGTCACAGCACCATTTCTCATAGGAATGCATTGAAAACCAGATTTGTATGGCAAGGTACAAAACCAAGAATTAAAATTAAAGCAATGCAAAATGCCAAACAGAGGGCTGGTTTTGGCCTTCCAGATTGGGTTCTGTATTATTGATCTTGTATTTTAGATTGCATAAAAGAATGGATAATTTTGGGAAATGATAGATTACTCAATTTGGAAGGACATGATTTGCAGCTAGGCTGGCACGCTTATTTATGGTATAAAAAGGATAAAGAGCAAAAGCATTTTAATTTACATATGATAAGAAGAGCTTTATTGGGAACTTGGAAAAAGATTATACAACAAATTTATCAAAAAACACCAGTATGGGTATCACGTATAGAGTCCTTTACACAACCTAATCTTATGACGAAAGCAAAACTTTTAAGATATCAAGATTTATTTTAAAAGAATTGTGAATTAAGGTCTAAAGAACAGCTAGAGACACAGAATATTTACATAGACTGGTGGTCCAGAGCACAGCTGGAATCAAGATATGCAGAAGACAAAATAGAAGGTTTTTATTCAGAACAAACAGCATTTGATAAGCTTTTATTAGGTTCAAAAGATAAAATAGTTAAGAAAATGTATAATTATCTGTTAGAAATCAAAATGCAAGATGAAATGGTTAAAGAATGTATGATTAAGTGGGTACAAAACATAGGGCATAATATTGATATTGATCAATGGTTGAAAATATGGGAAAATAATGTAAAGCTTACAAGATTGGTTAATTTTAAAGAGAATATATATAAGATGTTTTACAGGTGACATATGACTCCAGAAAAATTGTTGAAGATGTATACAGATGTATCAAATGTGTGCTGGAAATGTGAAGTGTATACAGATGTATCCAATGTGTGTTGGAAATGTGAAGCACATG